AAGTGCCGTTCCTGCCACGCCCTGCGAGCGTGTCACGGATAGAGGCCCCGCTGAGGGACCACCTTTGCGCCCCCCCAGTGGTGTCGAGAAAGTGCCGCGCCTGCCACGTCTTGCGAGCGTGTCACGGATAGAGGCCCCGCTGAGGGACCAACCACCCTCTGCGCACTCCCTCTGGTGTCGAGAAAGTGCCGCTCCTACCACGATCTGCGAGCGCGTCACGGATAGAGGCTGCGCTGAGGGACCACCCTCTGCGCATTCTCTGGGGTGTGGTGGTGTGTGGTGTGGCGTGGTGTGGTGTGGTGCGATGTGGCGTGGTGTGGTGTGGTGTGTGTACGAGCGAGAAGGAGGAGGTGAGGTGGGAACGCAGGTGTGACGCGGGTGTAGAGAAGGGGAGGTGAGTGAACGCGGGTGCGACGCGGGTGTAGAGAAAATCAAAACCCCACTTAGAATGTGGGGAAAAACAAAAACAAAAGCAAAGCAAAAACAACAGCAACAGCAAAAACAAAAGCAAAGGTAAAGGCAAAAGCAAAGGCAAGAGCAATAGCAAAGACAATGCAAAGCAAAACAAAACCAATGCGAAAGTGTATACGTAGATTTAAATGTAGGTGTAGGTGTAGGTGTATATGTGGATATAGGTGTGGATGTAGATGTAGCTGTACCTGTAGGTCTATATGTAGGTGTAGATGTAGATGGTAATTGTAGATGTAGATGTAGATGTAGATGCATGTGTACATGTAGATGTAGCTGCAGGTGCAGGTATGGCTGTAGGTCTAGATGTAGATGTAGGTATTCAGCTGTACTATTACTACGACGACTACTGTTTCTACTGCTACTACTGCTATTATTACTACTACTACTACTACTACTACTACTACTACTACTACTACTACTACTACTACTAATACTACTGAACTATTACGTACTACTAATTACTGAATTACTACTACTACTACTACTACAAGTTACTAATACTACTACTTACTACTACTAATACTACTACTACTTACTACTACTACGACTACTTACATACTCAACTACTTACTACTACACTACTACTACTTAACTACTATACTACTACTACTACTACTTACTACACTACTACTACTAGTAGTACTACTACTACTACTACTACTACTACTACTACTACTACTACTACTACTACTACTACTACTACTACTACTACTACTACTACTACTACTACTACTACTACTACTACTACTACTACTACTACTACTACTACTACTTTTACTACTACTACTACTACTACTACTACTACTTCTACTTCTACTTCTACTTCTACTACTTCTACTACTTCTACTACTTCTACTACTTCTACTACCGCTACTGCTACAACTGCGACGATGAAGAGAAGGAGGCGGACGGCGTTCACCATTACTACTAATCTTGCTCTCCTCGGGGCTCCAACTCCTGGTAGGGTCGCCCTGGGATAATTTTACTGTTCGTCGAAAATCCCCCTGTGGGGGGACAGGCCCGACCTAAGCCAAGGCGAGAGCCACAATTATGAAAATGAGCCGCCCTCCGTCCTCGAATGCGTGGCAAGCTTTTGCGCACGACGCAGGGCGCGTCGCCACGGCGAGTGCCACACTTCAAGAAAGCGCACCCGCCCTCTCCACCTCTCGAGGCTGCCGCCAGCAAACACTGGCGACGACTGTGCGTGGCGCCAGGGCGAGGGGACGCCTTTTGAGAAAGGGCCGGCCTCCATCCCGGAAGCTGCCGCGAAGCTTAAAAGGACGCGTGACGTGCGCGGCGCCCGGGCGAGGGGCCGCATGCCGACAGCAGCCCGCCTCCTATCCCTGAAACGGCTGCGAACTGTCAGGACGGACGTGCGCGGCGCGAGGAGGAGGAGGAGGAGGAAGAGGGAGGAGGAGGAGAAGAGGAGGGGAGGAGAGGAGGAGGAGGAGAATGAGAGGAGTAGGAGAGGAGGAGGAGGAGGAGGAGGAGGAGGTAGGAGGGAGGAGGAGTGGCGGAGGAAGAGGAGGAGGAGAGGAGGAGGAGGAGGAGGAGGAGGAGGAGTAGGGAGGAGGAGGAGGGAGGAGGAAGAGGGAGGAGGAGGAGGAGGAGGCGAGGTAGGAGAGAGGAGGAGGAGGAGGAAGAGGAGGAGGAGGAGAGGCGGAGCGAGAGAGGGAGGAGGAGGAGGAGGAGGAGGAGGAGGAGGCAGGAGAGGAGGAGGAGGAGGAGGAGGAGGAGGAGGAGGAGAGGAGGGAGGAGGGGAGGGAGGACGGAGGAGGAGGAGGAGGACGGAAGGAGGAGGTAGGAGAGGAGGAGGAGGAGGACGGGGGGGGAGGATGAGGAGGAGGAGGAAGAGGAGGAGGAGGAGGAGGAGGAGGAGGAGGAGGAGGAGGAGGAGGCGAGGACAAGAGCCACCCATCCTTGAGATGGGTGCCAATGCCACGCTTCAGGATCATGGACGGCGAGGACGTCTGAGGCGAAACGCCTGGCCCGCCCTGCCGGCACACGTCTGGGGGTGCGACAGGGAGGAGCTATGGAAGAGGGAGGGAGGAGCGCGAGGAGGAGGAGGAACGAGAAGCGAGGCGGACGAGGAGGGACGAGGAGGAGGAGGAGGAGGAGGAACCAGGAGGAGGAGGAGGAGGAGAAGGAGGGGGAGGAGGAGGAAGAGGAGGAGCGCGGAGCGAGGAGCGCGGAGCGAGGAGCCGGGAGGAACGGCGAGGAGGCCGAGGAGCGAGGAGCCGGGGGGAGGAGGCCGAGGAGCGAGGCGCGAGGAGGAGGAGGAGGAGGCTGCGGCGCGCCGCGAGGTCCCCGGCCGCCGGCGCGTCGAGGAGCGGCCCCGAGCGGGGCCGCCCCGCGCCGGCGCGGCGGCAGCCAGCAGCGCCGCGGGGCGCCGCCGCGGAGGGCCCGCGCGCCGTCTCCGCGGGGCCGCCGCGAGGGCCCGCCGACGACGACGCCGACGACATCGACGCCGACGACGACGACGACGCCGACGACGCCGCCGACGCCGACGACGCCGACGCAAACGCCGGCGACGGTGACGACGCTGACGACCTCCACGACGGTGACGACGCCGACGCCGACGACGGCGACGACCACGACGGCGACGACGCCGCCGACGATACCGACGCCGCCGACGCCGCCGACGACGCCGACGACGCTGACGACGCTGTCGCCGTCGTTATTTTCGGCCTTTGGGTGCCCTCGCTGCCGAGCCTCGGGGATGTCAGAAGACGATTCCCCTCCTCCTCCTCCTCCTCCTCCTCCTCCTCCTCCTCCTCCTCCTGACGTTTCTGACGTTTCTCGCTACACAGCGTCTTGTCGCGCGCCCCGCGGGCGCGGAGCGCGCCGCAGCGGCCCACAAGGGCCGTGCGGGCACTCGAACAGCGGCCCCGGGAACCCGACCCCGAGGAGAGCAGAGAGGACCAGGGACCAGTTAAAACCTCAGAGGAGGGAAGAGGGGGCCGGGTTTCTAAAAAAGGGGGGCCCGACAGGGCCCATGGGCGGGCGCCGCGCGCGCCCACGCCCGCGGGCGTCAGGCAGCGCGGCACGGCGCTCAGCCAGGCCGTCGGCCTCTTCGTGGGCCGGCGGCCGCACGGCGGCGGCTGGGCTCCCTTCGGCGCAGAGCGCTGAGCCCAGCCGCCGTGGGGGCGGCTTCGCGGGGCTGGCTGACCCTTCGGCGCCGCGCGCTGTGGAGGCTCGCCGAGCCGCTCGTGGGCTCCAGCAGGCCAGCACTGGCGGCTGCTCTTTCCTCCTCATGCCGACTGTGGCCGGCTGGCCTCGGCCCCTCGCATGCCACGCGAGGGCGACGGGGATACACCCTTCGGCGCCCTGCGCTGTGTATCCCACGCCGAGGGGCAGGCTGCCCCTTCCCTTCTGGTAGACTCTGCTGTTCTCGAACCTGTGGTACTGCTTGACTCTGTAGTGCGCGAACGTGTGGCACTCGTCCCAGTCGTGCTGGTCGAGGTGATACTTCTTGCCTCTGCGGTGCCCAATCATGCTGGTCGTCGTAGTACAGCGTGACACTGTGATGTCAAAGCCTGTGGTACTCGACCTAACGTAGTGTATCAGTTGTCCTCAATCATGTAGCACCCGACGCTGGCGTGCAGGTAGGCGCTGATGTCGGGGGATGGTTATGGTGTGGAGGTCGTTTGTTTGTTGGCTGAGTGTAGCTTGTCGAGCGTGCTGGTTAGGGTCGTTGGGAGGTCGGCTTGTTGCTGGTGTTGTGTTGATGGTCGTGGGCGCCCATGGCCTCCATGCGCCGACTTCAAGTGGGGGTCGTGGCTGTCCCACCTCGTCCCGCTATGGCTAGGGGTCACGGTGCCCTCGGTGGGGGCGAACCCCAGGCCTGGTGCATATTTTTGTCGGAGTGGGATGTCTCGGCTGTCCTATGCTTCGCCCTCGGGCGCTCGGGTAGCTCCTCCTCCGCCATGGGGATAGTAGGGGTGGCGAGCTAGGGCGGACCGCGGGGGCGCGGGTAGTGGCCGTCCTACCCCCCCCTGCCCCTCACCATCCCCCCTGGTGGGCGCGGGTAGTACTCGTCCTTCCCCCCCACCCTTCGAGCCCGTCTCGAAGTTTGATCCATGCCTCGCCAGGGCAGCGTTGACTTGTCAAGAGGTGTGAAGGGCCGTACTGGGGATGTGGTCGATGTCATTCAGTAGTGCAGCGAGGTCGTGCGAGCCGCCCACTTCCAGCCAGCTGGTGACCTCCGAGTTGTATACGACCAGTCACCGCCAAGATACCTACAGCAAAACGTAGCGACTTGTGCCTGGGGTGTTCCCTCGCATTCGGGGCTCCCCCAGGACTTGCGTCCTAACCCAAGCAAAACTTGGCGACGCTGCCTGAGGTCTTCCCACGCATTCGGGGCTTCCTCAGGACTTGAGTCCTGACGCCGTAGCGCTTGTCGCCGAGGCCGCTCTTCGCCGCGAAGTGCACTGTAGTATCCACCGTGACCGTGCCCATGCCTGTGGAGTTCGATATAGTGTAGCAGGAAGCACGTGGCCGCATTTGACTCGGTAGCACCCCCACCTGAGGTGCTCGGCACAGTCGTGCTGGTCACCATGGTGGTGCTTGTCTCAACGCTGCGCTGGCCTGCGGTACTCGGCTCCCACATGCTGATCGCTGTGATACTGCTTGACCTGCTTGCATTGGTGGCGCGCGAGCCCGAGGTACTCTAGTCAGTCTTGCTGCCCAACTGCCAAGATATACCCAGATATAACAAAACACTTACAGTGGTGCCTGGGCGCTTTGCTGCCTTTACCCAGGGAGATAGATACGCGTAGAAAACAAATGCCAGAGTTGAAAGATAATGCCAATAAGAATACCAATAAGCATACTCGAGGGGGAGCACGCTCCGCCGCCTTTGAGGGATCGCGCCCACCCGTATGGCCGCTACGGCCCCCCCCCCCTCGAGAATGGCACGCCATCGCAGTCCATGGCAAAGCCATGCGTGCATAGTCATATATTCGCGCAAATCACTGCAAGTATTGAGTCCATAAAGTAGGTACGCAGACCCTCGATCGCCTGCTGCAAATCTGTAATATTGCCAATCTGTAATCCAATATGTAATGCAGTCTGTAATCCAATCTGTAATACTGCCAATCTGTAATCAAATCTGTAATCTGGTAATCAGCCCAATGGACGTGCTGCAAATCTGTCATACTGCAAACAACAATTTCTCTTGAAATATTTGTGCAGGCCGTCGTAGTACCGCGCGCTGCTGTGTCAGCTGCTAGCGCCGGTGATTACCCCATGCCCTGTGCCAGTCGTGGCCCAGCTGTTCTTGCTCAATGTAATGGTCCAGGGGCGCATAAAAGCTGTGGTAGCATTCATCTGTCTCGGCCCACAGTGCCTCTTCGTCAGCGAGCTGCCCCCAGTGGGCTGCGAAGGCCGTTGCCATTGCCTTGCACAACTTTGAAGGATATTCTTTGAGAGGGGCGGTCCTCCAGCCGCCCTGGCCGTCTCGTCCGTAAGCTCTGTCGTGTCCGTTATGTCGGCACAGCTGACCCCCAGGTACTGCCCCAAGCTCTTGTGTGAGTTCGCTGAGGTGTACCGCCATCAGACACGTTGGCTTTCGCGCGGCCTGCCCAAACTGGCACTGGTCGATGTAGTGTAGCTCGACGTTCTTCTGCTCCAATAGCCACAGCGTCTCCGCTCGCTGCCAGCCGCTCGGCGCTCGGGGACACCAGGTAGCTGGAGCAGGATGCTCGAGTATAGCGGATACGTTGTATTGCAGGCCAGTGGCGATGAGTAGTAAGGCTGTCCTGTACAGCTCGCTGGCCAGTGCTAGCTGCTGAAGTTCCGTTTGGTTGGCTGCTTGTACGCCCCAGGGGAAATCGTGTGCGCGTAGTGGGCGTGGGGCTTTTCCCTCGGCGGCGTGCCAACGCGATGAGCACCGCGTCTCGCAAGGGGGGCCCGCTACGATGCCGAAGATTTTGCCCTGTCGTATCGCCGCGCACCAAAACTCGACGACGTCTGGCTTCGTCAGGTCGCCTTTGTCGGGGTCAATCTGCACGTCGATTGATAATACTATCAAATTACATTCACGAGTGTTCATCTCGAAGTGGTGCTGGAAGTCCTCCACTCGGCGTCTTCCTGAAAAAAGGTGTAGCAAGAACATGGTAGTAGTAACCGTGGGCCTGCACGGTGCAAATGTCCTTGCTGATGGCGTCTCCGCTTGAGGAGCCGCTGCTGCGGGCGGCGCCGGCGAGAGCTGGAGCTGGCGTTGTTCGATGTGGTCGGCGAGCTTGATGCGTATGATCTGCTGCGCAGGCACCGGCGCCTTAGTAGCTCCATGACCCATCGCCTTCCTCGTCGCCACCGCCTCTCGTTCTTCATCTCGACGTTCGGCTGCCTCCTACAAATCCATTAGAACTTCAACTGCTTGGAGTACAGCCAGGCACCTGGGGCACCTTCTCAGGTGCTTGAGTATGCGCGATCGCGTGATGAAGTCCTTCCCGCACCCAGGGCATGTTGTCGAGCGGGCGAGTAGTTCAGGGAGGTCGTAGCCGATGTGCTCCATGGTGCGGTGGCGCTTCTATGCTCCACGTGTTTTCAGGACCTTGCCGCACTCGTAGCATATGTAACCACTTTGTTGTGCAGGTGGCCGTCCATCGAAGTTGGGCGTGATCAGTCCAAAGTCTTGCGCGAGCCGATGCAACTGCCTTTGCCAGATCCGATGTCGATATACGTCGTGCTGCCAGGCCTTGTACCTAAGCCAGGCGCGTGTGATCATGGCTTGTGCGGCGTGCTCTTGCTGTGTTCGTACCCATCGTACAAGGCCCCTGATGTCACTGCCCATGTCCTCGTCATCTAGTAGGAATCGTTTTATCCAATCCAGGTCCTCGACGATAAGTGCATTCCAGGCCTTACTGTCCTCCCAGAGCTCGTCGATGAGGCGGTGAAGGAATGGCGTGTCCGCGTGCAACATTCTGACGAAGTACATCAGGCGTCGTCGACGCAGAGACATGTGGATCGGGACTTCATCGCATAGCAAGTAGATTTCGTCGTCCCAGGTGTGTACGTGTCCCGCACCGTGCCGCCGTTGTCGTGCGGCCGCTCGAAGACTCGCCATGTGTCTGCTCTGCAGCATGTGCTTCTGTTGTACTGTCAGCGGCCCCCATATTTCGCAGTCATAGGTCAATTTGCTCTGCGCCAGGGCCGTGAGGTACTGCATCTTGGCTTTGAGGTCGATGTGCGGCAGTCGGAATATGGACTTCTTCAAGGGGCCCTCTGCAGATCTGTGGTCGATGATGCGTCTCATAAGGTTTGGCCCTTCGCTGCCGTCGCTTGCCACAATATTGCCCAATGTGGGTCCCTGCGTCGTGACTTCCGCTGTGGTGGCATCAATGCTGGTCAGCAGTCGGCAGTCCTCGCGGTGCAGTGTGACGGGGTTGGTCTGGAAGATCTTCGCCTTGATATGGTGTTTGGCGTGTCCGTCGATATGCAGTAGGGCTTCAGTCTTCTTGGGGTGTAGATCGTGTCCGAAGATCTTGAGTCTCCTCGCAATGATGGACAATATATCAAAGATGCGGCTCTCGATTTTTGTATTGTCCCTGAGTGCGCACAGGAATGTCGCATCGTCCATGAAGGATACTTCTGGCAAGGTCACTTCATGATCTCGGAGGTGGCCTGTGGTGGTAATGGCTTGCTCTCCCACTGGTGGTAGCTGCAATGAGTATCCCCCAGCATGCAGCTCCTGCTCCAGCGGGCCCAGGGCGTGCGCGAAGCTGATGTTGAAAATGAGGTCGGCTAGGCCGTTGCCTGGGCGTGTGCCCTTGCGGCTCTCTGCGCATAGCTCGTCTCCACGTACTTGGAATAATGTCGTGTCGTGTGCCTCTTCCAGCTGGAAACGGAGGTTCTCGTCTACGTCGTTGAGCGCTAGATAGCCTGGTGCTGAGATCAACTGCTGGAGGGCGGGCATGAGCCATTCTGGTGGGCCACCTCCTGCCATCACCTTAAGAAGCCAGGGCTTCTCACCCTCCCGCCCCAGCACGAACTCGCGGATGACGGAGTAGAAGGCCTGCCGGAGGTCTAACAGGATGCCGACGGCGCTGAGACGCATGCGCTTGCAGATCCCGAAGAACGCTTTGATGGTGTGGGTGGAGTACGCGCCTGACTTCTTCGGGATTCCGCCATGCTGAGTGACTCTCAGTAAGCAGCTGCAGACCCTCAACGTCGTTGAGCGGAGCCACTTGTGGTAGTGCTTGGCCACCGTGTTGTTAAGGAGGATCGACCTGTAGTACTCCAGTAGGGCCCTCGTGCCGCTGCCCTTGTGAAGCTTCACTGCGACACCTGCCTTGAATTGGATTGGTTCGCGGCCTCGCAGGATCGTCTTCAGGACGACAGGATACCAGTGGCGGGCCGTCTCCTCGGGCGCGAGTTTGAGGATGTCGTCGAGGTTGCCGTCAGGTCCTCCTGCTCGACCCTTTTTGCCGTCCGCGAAGCTCTCCACCAGGTCGTTGAGTGTCATGAGCAGGTGATGCGAGACCTCATCGGGTGGTGCTCTGCAGGTGCGGCTGCTGTTGTAGCGGTCCGTGAGGTCGTACTTGTCCCTGACGTCTGCTGACTCAATCTTGGCGAAGTGCTGCAACGTGGCACGGCTGATCTCGCTCTGGTTGCCCATGATGGTACCATCGGACTGCTGCATGATGGGTAACGCACTGTCGTATTTTGGTTTGCGGCCGCCGTGGATCAGGATCTTCTTGGTCAGTTGCCACTCGGACCTGGCGTCCCTTGCCGTTCTACTGTCCGCCAATTTGATACCAAGGTCATGGAAGTACTGGTTGCGGTCGGTACTGAGCTGGTGCCTGAACGTGTCCCTAGTGTGGTCGATGAAGAGCCTTGCGGCGTCGTGCGCAATGCCGAGGCAGCCGGTCGTGCGGCTGAGCTGGCAGGCGCCCGCAAGGGCTGCAACAGAGTTGAACCAGCTGTCTTCAACGCGGGCGTAGGCCGGCGCCTCGTAGCAGAGCCTCTTGCGGAATACTTCTAGTGGTGCTGGGTCCCCATTGTTCGTGTAAGTCCGCGTGGAGCTCTCAGCGTATCTGCGTAGTCGCAATAATCGCATGCTGGCCTCTGAAATTGTGACGTTGCAAGGTGTAAGCGGGTCTCGTCCGAAATGCTGCTTCGTCTTGTCGGCAATGAGCCCCGCCGTCTCGTGGTAGTGTTCATTGACGTTGGCCTCCCATGGTGGTAACCTGGTGCTGTTCAGGTCCTGCTTGAAGGCGGTGATGCACTCTGGGTTCTTGAGCTTGTTAGTGTCCAGCTGAGCGGCTCCCTTCAAGTTGCGGTGGCGTCCGATGATGTCGCCCGCGACTTCAAGAAGCACGGGCAGGTGATCCGTGGTCGTGTCGAAGCCGTTCTGAGCGCCATTGCTCCTCTGCTTGCTGTACTCGTTATTCTTCTTGGCGGCCGGCTTTTGGAAGTCCTTCAGCGCTGTGCAAGCTGCGACGCATTTGAACAGGCCGGGAGCCATGGCGACGTAGTCGATGCGGTTGGAGACCCCGTCTTTGTGGTATGTGTAGTCGTCGCTGTTCCCGTAGTATGTGTTGACGACGTGCAAGTGGCAACTGGCGACAGACTCATGGAATTCGTGTCCATTCTTGTCTGCCAGCTGATTTGGACCCTTCTGGCCCAGCCACAGCGTGTCCTCTCCATCTTTGTGTCCAAGTTTGGCATTCGCATCGATGAGCAGGATCTCTGGCTTCCATGTGTCGCACAGCTCTCTGAAATGTTCCCACCACCCGCTGATGTCCTTGGCCTTCTGGCACGGGGCGTGGGCCACGGCGATGACGTGGTGGAACATGGGAGCATGCACGCGGACAAAGAGCATCCTGGCCGAAGAGTGCAGTTGTGAGCTGGGACTGCTTGAAGTACAGGTCTTTCCCTTTGAGCTGTCCGTACGGGATCTCCACGTTGAGTAATAACGCGCATCCCCAATTGCCGTCCTGCGCGTCGCTCTGGATGTTGATGAAACCTTGTCCAGTCCATATAGCCTCCTTACAGCGAGTCTCCTGCAGCCCGGCGACGCGAACCTTCAGGTCCAAGAGTTGGGCTCTGACCAGAGCCCCTTTGCTGGAAATGTCCAGGTGCAGGTCTGTGGAGGTGAAGTCACCTACCATGGACTGGGCGTTGTACTGCACGATGTTGAGCTTCAGTATGCCCTTGTTGTAGCTGTCCGCGGTGAGGTCGGGGATGTGGTCTGCTTCTGCCATCTGGGGTGCGACGTGCTCCTCGAGCTGTCCGTGCTTCCAGGTTGGGTAAGCATGTAGGTCCCTGCAAGCTGGGTTGTCCATCCAGGCCCATTCGAGCGTGCTGTTATATCGTACTATGCCAACTAGCTCTTCCGCGGGCGGTGGTGGCGCTGGTTGGAGTGCCGCATACTTTGACAGAATATCTGCTGCTTCGTTCCAGGGTGCATCTCGATGAGCATGTGCGTGTTCGAAGCTGATGACCTTGGTGAGTTGTAGCTGCTGGAAAAGTATACGTGTGAACCTCGCGAGTGGGCGGTTCCTACATGATCTGATCCTCGATGTTCCAGCTGCTGCGCCAAGGGCCGCAGTGTTGTCGCCGATGATGACGATCTCATGCTCACCGTCCTCCTGGATACATGCGATACCTGCCCAGAGCAACGCTCCCAATTCGGGGCTAGTGCTGGAGGTGATGTTGTTGGCCATTTCCTCGCTGACTGGCAGGGCGTGGTTGGAGTACATGTGTCTGTAGTAAGCAATGCCCTGGTCGTCTTCCCTCAAATGT